CTTCCTCCTCTATCTACCTCTTCCTCCTCTTCATCTACCTCTTCCCTCCTCCTCCATCTACCTCTTCTCCTCTTCATCTACCTCTTCCCCCCACACCCCCCCCACACCCCCCCACCCCCCCCACCCCCATCTACCTCTTCCTCCTCCTCATCTACCTCTTCCTCCTATTCATCTGCCTCTTACTCCTCTTCATCTCCCTCTTCCCCTCACACCTCCTCCCTCCCCCTCTTCATCTACCTCCTTCTCCCTGTCTCCTCTTCCTCCTCCTCCTCACCTCTTCCTCCTCCTCATCTCCTCTTCCTCCTCTTCATCTACCTCTTCCCTACTCTTCATCTCTCTTCCTCCTCATCTACCTCTTCCCTCCTCTTCATCTCACCTCTCCCTCCTCATCTACCTCTTCCTCCTCCTAACTACTCCTCTACCTCTTCCTCCTCAACTACCTCTTCCTGCTCTCACCCTCTTCCTCCTCATCTTCACACTCTTCCTCCTCTTCATCCTACCTCTTCCTCCTCTTCATCTACCTCTTCCTCCTCTTCATCTACCTCTTCCTCCTCCTTACCTCTTCCTCTTCCATCTACCCTTCCTCCTCTTATCTACCTCTTCCTCCTCTTCATCTACCTCCACTCCCACACTCTTCCCCCCCCACCCCTCATCTACCTCCACCTCTTCCTGCCTCAATTCATCTGCACCTCCACCCTCCTCTTCATCTACCTCTTCCTCCTCCTCCTTACCTCTTCCTCCTCTTCATCTGCCCCCTCCTCATCTACCTCTTCCTCCTCTTCATCTACCTCTTCCTCCTCCTCATCTACCTCTTCTCCTCTTCCTACCTCTTCCTCCTCTTCATCTACCTCTTCCTCCTCTTCATCTACACTCTTCCTCCTCTTCATCTACCTCTCCCTCCTTCATCTACCTCCCCTCCTCTTCATCTACCTCTTCCTCCTCTTCATCTACCTCTTCCTCCTCTTCATCTACCTCGTCCTACCTTCTCTACCTCTTCCTCCTCCTTCATCTACCTCTTCCTCCTCCTCATCTCCTCTTCTCTTCATCTCTTCCTCCCTCTTCATCTACCTCTTCTCCTCTTCATCTCTTCCCCTCCTCTTATCACACTCTCCCTACCTTCATCTACCTCTTCCTCCTCTTCATCTCTACCTCTTCCTCCTCAATATTCATCACCTCTTCCCTCCTCTTCATCTACCTCTTCAGCAATGGCTTCTA